GAAGAGAGCCAAGGCCTTGAAGTGTGGGCTGGGATTAGTGGCAAACACAAAAGGAGCATTTGAAGGGGGCATGCCTGTCTCTTTTGAAAGGCTATCATTTAGAGCCTTCAGCCATAGATCATCTGCAGTTTACATGGTGAAAACTTTAAATGTTGATCATACCCATTATTTGTCTCTGTGAGGGGTGCGTTTGATGGTTTAGGCCAGGGAAGGCTCCAAAGGTCTCCGAGCTTCAGTCTGTCTCCCCACTCCTGTCTCTCTATTGGTATGCATCCCTCATAATAGAGGCAGGAGGCAGGGGGTCTCATTAGGGGCCGGGGGAGAGCTGTTCTGGGAGGGAGCAGTCGATGAATTCCTCGGGGCAGATGCACCATCATCACACAGCAGTGGAGCTGAAGAAAGGAACATGGGAAGCAGGTGAAACGAAATAATTCTCACAGGCGTTCTGCAAACTTTCGTGCAGCAAAACACAACTCGCAAAAACACAAAATGTCTTGCGGAAAGACGTGTCTCGAAATACAGAGGTACTCCAGGTGGGCTGCGTCTTTTAACAGCGGGAACTTCATCCGATGTGACTTTCAAACTGAGAGATGGCTTCCTTTAGAACTACTGACAATGACTGACAAGTGGAACAGAGGTAGCTATTTTGAGGGTCCCCTGAGTACCAAATGATGACCTGACTTCCGTCTTGCCACCAAAAGTGCAGGCTGGAGTAAGTTAAATGAATTCCCTCTGGGTAGCTACTTCCTCTGTTATCTGTCACCACTTCCTGTCTGTAAGGGGCAGGTAATGACAGCATGCAGGTGCTGCAAGCCGGGTGGTATCACTACAAAGTGTCAGAAGCACAAAACATGCCATTTTTCCCTAAAACAATATTACATTTTTTGATTTCTTGTTTAAATGCATCCATGTGCTCAAGCAATCACAATACCAAGTTTTTGTGCGAGCTCAGATGCACCCTTATCATGTGAAAGTAGTCCCTGAACCAGGCTAAAATGATTACACATTGGCTGTTACTCAGATATTTGCTCTGCTGCACTGCACATAGAAATTGATGTTCCACGAACCCTGGATATTGTTCTCGGAAGGTCACGGTTTGGAATTTCACGTAAGTGATGAATGGTTGCAGATTCACTGAGAGGCTTATGAGTAAGTCTTTCGGTGTACTGAGATAATCAGGAAATATAGCTGAAAAAATATTCCGCTGTGATACTTGTAATTTTTTTTCTTCTTTAATTACTTGTTGGCTTCAAGCGAGCCAGAAACGGACCTAAAACTTGTCAGAAGCATCAAATGATTGAAGCAAGCTTTCTTTTCTGGATTTCCAGTAGTGTGTAAAAACACTGCCATGGTTTGTTATGACAAAGGTCACGGATAAAGGATGATCTGCCTACAGTTCCCTAATGCGAGAACAAAGACTTTGTCAAAATATATTCCAGCAGTAGAGTGAGCAGGGGATAGGTTACATTGTTTTGGGGATAGGTTTTCCAGACAGAGTGATGTGAAGACAGGTCCTGGCTGTGGATTTACTGGGACTCGTTCTAGTCTGTTAATCCTTGTATCTCTTTGACTCTTTCAGCAGGTTCCTCAGCTGGAAAGCCTCATGGGGCTCTGAAGTGGTTTCCTTTCCTGTGTTCGCCATTAATTTTCAAATGAGCCAGTTTCCACTGCTAGAAAAGAGGAAAAGTCAAGATTAAAATAATCTCAGGAAACTCCATGCACGTGAAGAAAACTACTAAATCAACATGGTGCAAAAACAAGTTGAGAAAATCGATTTTTTTTCCATCTTTGATGCGACTTAACAGCTGCTTATAATATACTAAAATCAGATTTTTTTTTTACAAAATTAGAAAATAAATGAAAAAAAAACTACATGAAGACTTTCTTAAGTGTGGTTAGAATAGTTGTCTTGACATTTTCCATGTGCTCTCAATTGCTGAACAATTTGCACTGAGATGACTCTTGTTCTGTATAAAATCATCCATATGGCTGCTCAGCCAGAGCCAGGATCCCATGCTATTAGCGGCTCAAACATCAGTCTTTTTATGGGCCTCGGACGGGGAATGATGAAACCAAATCAGGTCATGCCAATTGATAGACATTCTCCTCAGCTATCACTTGCACACACAGTCCTTTTAAAGTAAAGTCTAGAGAGCGGCCTCTATCTTTACAGGTGTAGCGTTGCTTCCCCAGAAGCTGTCATCATATTGTTCAATGAAATATTTAACTTCCTCAAGAGATTGAGCTGTAATATAAGAAATCATCCCTATAATGCCCACTGACTGCTACAAACAGATGTGAAATTTCAAGGTAGACCCAGACTCTGTTTAGCCCCCCCATGGACGAGCTATCATGTTCTTCACCGAGGTCAGACGCACAGTCTCCCTTTTCAAATTATACCCCTCAGATTTGTCTGTTAGGTAGCGTTATATGAGCTGTGGAGAATTAAAAGGCTCTGATTTTATTTGAAATTCCCGGTGCTTTACAAAGTAATCATTTCCCATACAAAGTACATCTAAAAGCTACGCTAAACCTCTAAACCATAGAAGTAAGTCTACAACACATGGCATGGGAAAAATAAATAAATAAATAAAAAAGGCAGATTATGGGGAGATTAAAGGTTGTACAGCTTGTTATCTTTGTGTATCAGTCGAGATCTTGGTTGACAGCTGATGGGAGTTATCTGGAAATGATACATCACTACTTCATGTCCCTCACTGACTACTGTCCCAGGCAGCAGACATCAGCACTCCTGTTGTGATTTTTACATTAAATAAAATTAAAAGAAATTAAAACAGGGGAATATCTTTATTCATGCATTTATTTATGTAACTCTTCAGCTGGATTCATCATCATTCACTAAAACACAGTAAATGAAGAAAGCTTCCCAGTGTATCTAGTCCCATATATATAGAGAGAGAGGATTAAAATAATCCAATGTTGAAACACTGACTCCTTCAATTATGAACCACCCTCACCTTTGGAGACATGACCCTTTGAGGATGGAACCCATCATTATGGATTTAGCCCACTAGGCATGGGGATTGAGGCCACCCTTATGCTGAGGCATTCTCCTGGGTCTCAGTCTTTATTCCTGGAGCCAGAGGCCCTCAAGCAGGTAGACATGGCCTGACTGATATTCATGTGGGCCAGGTAAATGTGCCCTTCAGGCATGGGGCACTGGAGCGTTACTTTTCTGAGAAATGGGAAGGTGAGGCAAACTTGGAAAGCAAGGAGATGTACTCTGCAGTTTGCTGCATCCACACTCATATGGTGGTGCTTTAATAGTAGTTTCTGAGAAAGCATGAATACTAGCCAGACCACCATGGAGAAATACTCAAGTGTGCACAACTTTATATGCAAATGTTAAAATGCAGCTTAGCTGCCAAAAATACTCAGAACATTATATTTTATTCTAATGATGCATTAATGGGTAATAATGCTAAACTACTTTATATACTGCAGGGTAGCTTAATATAAAATAATACATCATTATTTATCAATTGGTTGCTCTAGCGGGAAAAAAAGTATCTTAATACAATTTTAAATAATACTGAATTACTGAGTCTAAGAAGTTGAGAACAGAACTAAGGGATCAAGAAATTACACCATGAACAGAAAGGCCTGAGAATATAAAAGGCTCTATACTCTATTCACTAGATGTGATGAGGATTTCAACAGAAAACTTGTTAGTGTGAGAACGTCCTGTATGACAAAAATCCCCTTTGTCTGATCCGTGGCCCTGCTCCACAGATAATGGAGCAAAATGTGGCCTGAGGGAGATAATTTGTTCCCAGATCTTCAGATCGCAATATTTTCATTTGAGCCCAGGAGGGGACCGCTTGAGTTGCCAGCTTCCATTGTGTTCCAACAAGGGGCACAAAAGTCTTGTCAATTCATTTTTCTTTTATTCCAGACCACGGAGCGCCTGGGTGAATTCAATTATCAACCAATTAAGAGGTGTTTCCTTTTATTTACAGACTTTGATTCCGTGCGTATCCATATTGTTTGAAAATAAGACAGAAGCCGGGTGTAAAATCACTTGAAAATTTTCCCCGCATGAGTTGTTTAATAGCCTTTCCCCCCCAATAGCAGCCTTTCTGTTGTGTCCCCTGGGTCACAAGCACGACAAAAGCGCATTACATGCTGCTGAACTCTCTCGTCAGTTGTTTGGCGGATGCTCCTTCACAGTGCTCTCCAATACAAACAAAAAGTCCTCACGCAGACACACGCGAGACAGTCGGCCTTTTGCGTGACAAGACTTTGGGAATAGATGGAGACAGGTGGAATATTCAGTAAAAGAAAAATGAAGGTTGGAAATCAAGCAGTCTCAGTCTGAGTCAAATCCAGTCCAGAGAAAAAGCTGAACTTCTGAACCTCGTGGAAGCAAGCTAAAGGTCTGATTACTTGTTAATGGGTCTATTGAAAGTGACAAGCGGAAAATCTGTCTCTGTCTTACACACTTTACAGCTTACAGCTACTTGACTTCAGATTTCCTGACAGACCATCAAATATTTGTACAACTTTATGCTTTCATGGATTTGAGAACCTAATGAGGTTTTGTAAAGCTTTTTTAAAAAAAAAAAAATATATATATATATATATATATATATATCTGACAGAGACTCACTGAGCAACAGTGAAGCAGGCTCTCCAAAATACTTTGAACTTTACGTCTACAAACAAAGCAGGGGCGCTCTGAGCACAGAATCATACACTAATAAATAATGGCCCCATGTGCTGATGTTGATACATCATCAATGAATGACCCTACAGCAGACAACATGGTGTCCAAGGAAACACATAAATGTATTTATTTTGAGGAAAAATCCAGAAAAAGTCTGAAAATGCTTTGTACTGCCAGATTCACGTGGGGAATAAAACATAGTAACTCTCATTAATTATATAGAATTTCATACAGTCAAAGCCTTGACTATTTCTGACTAGTGCATCCAGCTCTCCAGAGGAAAAACAGGAAAATGACACATAAGCCTTGAATATGGAGTTCAAATAAATGACTTTTATTCAAACATAGAGGACACAAGTTTAAATAAAACACAATTAAGTCTAACATACATGGTTCTTCTTATGAAAATAATTTCTGTACATAGGCATCTTCTTTAAAGACTAACTGGTCCAATCCAGCTGCTACAGTGTGTTGTTTTTTGTTTGTTTGTTTGTTTTAATCTACCCATCAGATCTCAGTGGGAAGATGCACTGACAAATTTTCTCAGGTTGGGAGAGAAACACCAGTTTAGTTCCAGTAGTCATACTACAAGGTGGCCAACCACACCAGAAAATTAGTATTAACAGGTGGTTACATAAGAACTGTGAGCAGTCTACACCTCTGTTCCTTCCCGGCTGTAAATGAGGTTATTCACACTGAAATGGTTGGAGAGGCTCTGCACTGATGTGTAATAGTTCATTCTGCTGTTGTCAGAGTTCAGAGGAGAGATCACAGAAGGCGAGTAGGAGCCCAGTCCAGACATGCCCTCTCTGGGCTGAGATAGTCCCCCGACGTGCCCGGAGCCGTAGTCTCCACGCTCTACGCCCCGGGCGCCGTCGCTTCCCCCGCTGCTCGCCAGGATCGAGTTCACGCTGGATGAGAAGCTGCTGAAACAGGGGCTGTGCTCCGCGGAGGGAGACGGGGACGACTTGGGCTCAGTGGAGGCCGGAGAGCCGTGCAGGCTGGGCGGGGAGGCACTCAGGAGGCTGGCGGTGTCGGCGAGCTTGTGTGCGCCGTCTTCAGATTTAAGTGGAAGAGCTGTGCTGTCAGCTCCGTTCAAATCTGATCTCCTCTTTCTCTTACGCCTGAAGTTCCCGTTGTCGAACATCTTCTCACAATTTGGGTCAAGAGTCCAGTAGTTTCCTTTACCTGTATAAGAAACAGAAGAAATAAAGAAGGGGGAGAGGATGAAAAACGCTGACATGCGAATACTTTGAATTCAAATTTGTTCCTGCTCACAACTGAACAGTTCACTTGACTTTTACCATTAAAATCTAAAAAAGCAATAACAAATAAAAATCAATAATTAAACGTCTCTGGTATTTCAGAAATACTTTTGATAAAGTTTAAAAACAAAAGTAGTAACGATTCTCTGATATATAATTACAGAAAATTCTGAGAGGCTTATTAAAAAAAAAAAAAAACTCACCAGGGTCATCCTCGTCCCGTGCCACTTTTTTGAAACAGTCGTTGAGTGACAAGTTGTGGCGAATTGAATTCTGCCACCCAGCTTTGCTCTTCTTGTAGAAAGGGAAGTTATCGGCCACATACTGATAGATCTGACTGAGAGTCAACTTTTTGTCCTGGGCATTTTGTATGGCCATCGCTATCAGCGCGGAGTAAGAATAAGGCGGTCTAACCATTTTGAAGAGCTCCTGCTGGCTGGATATGGATAGCCATCCCAGGTCTGCTCCACCAAACCCGGTGGGAGGTGGTAAGAACTGCCTCTGGTTAGACCCGTATCCAGACTGAATATAAGACGTGCCGTTGTTCCCTTGAAGATAAGGAGAAGAGTTGATGCTCGGTCCGTTTAGCCATAGGTATGGGTTTGTAGAGGGGGACGAGTACTCTCCGAGGCCGTAACCGGAGGGGTGAGTAGGCGGCCTCTGAGTGTGATGGTGATGCAGATTCTGCTGGTAAACGCCGTAGTTGTCACAGTACACGGCCATGTCCAGGAGCTCCTGGGCGCTGTGGTGCTGAATAGGGCTACTCTGTGGGTTAGATGGTTGGTGTCCAAAAGCATTCATAATCCGCCTTAAACAGATTCCCCAAACCTAATTTCTTCTCTGTGTCTCTCCCTCAGGACAGAACGTATTCGGAGAAGCAGGAGTATTTATGCGCAACGCCCGGGTCCTCCACAGGTAGCCCATTGAAAGTTTTGATTTGGTCACACCCCCCTTCTCTGTCTTGCTACACCCAACTCACCCAATCTCCCTATCAATGAGCATCGATACTTCTTTTAAATGCAGCGACGAGCTTCGTGTTAATTGTAAAGTATGCCCACATTAAGGAACGTTAGTGGTTTCGAACTTTCTCAATAACGACGCGTAATTACGCACCGCTGCTTAAATTGGCTGGCAGTGTATACAGACGTTACAAAAGGAATCCTTCGCAAATAATCCAAAGTGAAATACAAAGCGCGGTTGTGGCACGATGTTAATAATTGTTCCTTACTAGAATAATATTTTTTATTGAATTTTCTTTAATATTGTGATCAAAACTGCAGGTCACAAACGTATCTCGTCGTGCACGAGTTGCAGATATCAGTTTCGTTTAAAACTTGGTATCCGTGTCAGACTCAAACAAGGAAGTTCCACGTGCTTAAAACTTAAAAAGAAATTTGTTTGCAATAAACACTTCACAAGTGCCACAAGTTTTGTGTCAACAAGTGACTCGTGGAAAGCATACTCACTGCAAGCTCCCCAGGAAAACGGGTTATAGCTGCACTGCGAATTAGGAACAATTATATTTCTAATTATGTCATTATTTAATTATTCTGCATTATCAAAAGTTGCCTATATTAGGCTACGGGGGCGGGGTCACTTTTTTTCTACTAAAATTATTTTATAAGCACTTTTGACAAAAACAGGAATAAGAAAAAAACACATTCCATAATTCTACTTAGAGAAGCACATAGAAACTAAAATCTGGTCCAGAACTAACTTATTTGGTGTATTTGCTTGGAGGGAAATCACCTGGTGGTGTGTAGCCGACGCAGACGGGGGGCTGCAACAGCAGGCAAACGGTCCTTGTTTCGACTGACGGGAAAGTGGAACAACTTTAACAGCATCGATACTACAGCCGTACAGAATGTGAGGTTATTTCCAGTTTAAGTGCTAAAAATCAAAACCACAAAACTGCGCAGCCATGACAGACATATCTGTGCTGCACCATTTATTTCTTAACACTGTGTTTAAAACCTGTCTGGAACTTAACAGGCCAATAGTAGCTGAAATCTATTCACTGCAATAATTCGCCTATTTTTAAAATGATAAAAGTAGCTCAAGAGTTTCAACGTTTGAGCTGCGATTTGTTTCATGGCTCGCTGACACAGCCGAAGTTTGAATTTTAAGCGAATCTAACACTTTTTTTTTATATATATATATATATTGTTAGATTATTATTTCACCTGAATTCTTTAGTCGCAGTTTGCTGCCGGACTCCTGCACTAATCGGCAGAACATTCCTCCTCTCCATGACCTTGATGTAATTGTTTGGCTCCAAGGTGTTGTCCCGACCACAGGCTTTACAGCAGTGGCAAGCAATTGGCTCCACGGGGGAGGAGTGGCATTTAACCCCCAGATGAAAACAACACAACCTGTTAGGTGTCTAACGAGTACAGCTAATTACTGCTGACTCGAAATCCCAATCTCAAAAATTCAAGCAAACTCTGCAAACATCTGTATTTACAATTTACAGTAACCTTCTGGGCAGCACATATGCCATGACATAATATCTGTAAGTGAATAATTGAGTTTTTAAAGTGCCACATGTATGACTTAACACTGAAGTTGTCAGGTGTGGCTCGACGTGACAACCTAACCTCCCTAATCCCCAACCTCCATTCGGTTGTAAAATAATAATGCTGGGCCTTTTTTTTTCAGGTTGGGGGTGGAAGGGTTGCTCTTTTGCTCGCCCATGTCTGTCTTCATCCCCTGTTTCCTCAAGCTTTGTAAGGTCATGGAAGCTATTCTCTAGGAGATCGTGTCAATCATGGAAAGGTCAGAGAGGTAAGACGGAGTCACACAAGCTTCAGTTTAAAATCTGCGCTGCAGGTGATGGGAGAATGGAACATTCTGCTTCTTCTCTATTCACTCTGTTTCAGCGCATTTTACCACTGCATTTGCAGCTAAACACATGCTGGGAGCAACAAAAGCCTTTGGGGTTATCTGCTAACTGTTACCGGGCAAAGATGTGCTTAAGACCATTAAAAACACAAACGAATAAGATACAAATATTAATTTTGATTGTGCAAATAAGGTGACTTTGTGCAGGCGGGAGCTTGTCCTTCTCAGCGTCTCCCCCTAGTGGACGAGTGAAGCAAAACTACCAATAGAACTGACGGTTTTAGTGCCTATTAATGTGCAGCCCGCACGCCAAAGCGAAAATAACAGGCCTTTTTTTCCCTTCTTGCTGAATACTTTGCACAAAACTTTCTCTGACAGTGTGCAGGAGATTAAATACAATTTAAGTGTTCTGATCTCAAACTTGGCAGACAGAGTAACAGTTTGGCACCAGAGCATCTTTCACTTCTGCACTCAGTGGTCTTTTTTCTTCAACATGGCATGTCCACTGCAAAAAAGCATTTATAATAGGATCTCTAGCTGAGGTTTGCGCTTTTTCTCAACTTCACTTCTAGGTTTTAAAAGGGTTAATAGGGGATAACTTTAAGAACATGTTGCACTGTACCATCTATCTATCTATCTATCTATCTATCTATCTATCCATTCAGTTTATATAGCACCAAATTAGCTCTTGTTAGCACATAAATGTGAAAGTGTCTTAGGATATTCACTCTTCTTATGTGGCCCAACTGGGAGAATCTGTTTTCTTTGTAATTACATGTTCATCTCTGCGAAGTCCCCTCTGACCACTTACTGTTTGGCCCTGACAGTCTGCCTCCAGGAGCTAGGCAGGCAGTCTAGAAGATTGCACGCCGAGAGAAATACAACCAGCTGGGCCTTTAGATTCAGTCTCCTCTGAACCTCTGATTTACGCCTCTACTACTGATTACATCCTTGGAGAGAACAGACTTTTCTGGTTTCTGAGAGCCAAAATCATAGCTATGCTGGGTTCACTGTCAGCTGCAGGCAGCTGAGGTATGCTCTAATCCCTGTATCCTAGCATGGTTTATAAAATATCTAAACATATAACATATCTAAACTAGGCACAGTTAGAATTTTGTTAAATGTGATTGTAAGCAGGAATTCCAACTGTTTCTACGACTACGGTTTCACGTCGGTTGCTAGTTTTGTCAAGACTGTTAATATCACCTCATTATATTAAACAAGGCTAAGTTGATGTCACTTTGGTAATTGCTCATCTAAACAGTGATTAGATGGCTGCACTAACTGTATTCTCCAGATGAGGGCAGCATTACCTTAAACATGGTACAGTTCAGCATTGCTAAACAAACCAAAACCACATCAGTCATGCTGTGCAGCCCTCTGGAAAGCAACATACATCAAACCCCAGAATCTGATTAGTGTATTGATTTTAATGGCACACAACCCGGGAATTTATTGGGGAAGTGATGAAAACTGTTTGGAACATAACTCTCTGAATGCACTTTAATGGGTTTTTTTTCCCTCTGACATTTACAGTTTGACAATTTTATTTCCACTGTGTATTATGTACATTAGTACACACAACAATAATACACACTCTGCATGGGAAAGTTCAAGAAAGACAAACGTAATTGCACTTAAAAAACAACACGGGATTCTGTGTCCATCATGCAACCTGTAAAGAGGAGGGGAGACTAATGATTTTGCTGTGTGAGCAACAATTCTTATTAACTACTTTTGCTTGAATATTACTAACAAAATTTAGATTTACCATTTCTCAAAGCTTTTTCAGAGTAAGTAACTCTGGTACAGAAAGATACAGGTGAGTTAGAATGCAAGTGGCAACCTCTGACTCTCTGGCTCCAAACCCAATCGACTCCTGTGTCAACATGGCCAAAAAAAGAGTATAGTTACAGCCCCGTAGGAAAAAATGGTTTCGTTGTTTATAACTAATATAATTATAACAGGGAATAAATATAAACAAAATAGTTCAAGTTTTATTATCACTTAATGCAAGAAGGGTGATCACTTTAACTGACAGGTGGATGTCTAAATATGCATCTGCAGATGGCAGCTCTCTGCTAATGTGATTAAAGGACCTAGTGAATGGCTCAGTGTGAGGTTAACTGCTCTGGCAGCTTTTCCAAGACACCTGCATCTGTATGTGATGCACCCTAACATTTAATGCACCTTGCTAAACTAGCATGCTAGCATTAGCTAATAACTTAGCACTCCACCCTTTCATCATAATATGGTCATTTTAGATGCCAAAAAAATAAACGTGGTAATAGTCAAGATTCTAAAGCTGAAGCTTTAAATTAGGGCTTCGCAAATTAATCATGACGGCTGCATCCATCTTTTATTTACAGTTTATGCTTTAAAGTTGGGTGTAATCACTGGCATGTGTGAAAAGCAGATTAAACAGTGAAAAGTGAAGAGAGGTCCCAGCTCTCAATAGAATCTTAGTTGTTAGTATTATTAGCTGTAATCCATGAAAAGATTTATCTATTTGATTTTTATGAAACACTTATGAATAACCTCAAAAGTATAGACACAAGATCACAAGTCCAAATGACCCAGATTTGATTGACTGATTCAATTCAATACTCTGTCATGGGACAACACGTCTGTAGCACTTTTTAGTTATTTCCATGTGAAGCTGAAAATGGCAGGGAACTCTGCTTTCTCATCGAACCAGTTCTCCACCCCCGATCTCTAGGTATGTTTCCTAGCAACACATCCTTCTGACTGCCTGGGAAAACCCAGTGCTTCATAATAGGCTCAGCTAATATAGATCAGCACCACTTGGCTCTCTCCCTCAAATCTAGATAATAAACGTGTGTACTGAATGTACATTTTGTATTTAGTGCTGAATGCAGCACAAAATAGCAGCTGCACTTACAGCCTGAGATTTAAAATGCCATCAGTTCTCTCCTGTGCTCTATATTCGCTGTCGACTGGTCTCACAAGCGCTCTTGATAAGAGTGATGGAGTGTCTGTCTGGAGTGTGTAAAGTTGGAGGCAGTACA